TTATATATATATATATATATATATATATATGATATTTTACATATTGTTGCTCATATGATGTTTTATAATCGACTTGTTTTTTTAAATATTATTATATGCCTCACTAAGTGTATACTTAGTGTGTGATTATTTTTATGTAAAGAAAATCGAGTAGGGGAAGGAGCATTGCTTGGCATCATCAACCGAGAGTTATCTTCCAATATTAGTAAGACATCTCTTTTGATGTTTTGATTTTCTAGTGGGCATGTATTTTTATATGCATTATGTTTACTCTGATAGAAATAGATTTTAAATATGTTTGTACAATTAAAAATGTTAACCTAAAAAGACTATTACTAGGTATTAAAAAATATTTTGCATGCTTAGTATTTTTTTAAATTATATTTTTACTGATATCGAAATAAATTTTAAATTAGACAATTTTATTCTTTATATGAAGTAGTATTGAACTACCATGTTGCTACATGAAATTGGACATGAAAAATATTTTAAAATACTACTTTTTCGATTTTACAAGATTAAATACTCATGGATTTTATAGGATTTATGCTGTTAGAAAATATTGAAAATATGGAGCCGATGACATTGGAGGATTTTTTTGGTTTAAATGTTTATGTTTATGTCTTCTTTTATAAAATTTGTGTTGGTAAAAGATGATCTAGAATTTGCTTTAATTTTACTATGGACTTTGTTAATTATCTTGTGTTGGTTAAAGAGCATGACAATTTGAATAGTTTGAGTATGGAATGAAATTAGAGAATATTTATGATGATTTGTGTTAATTTTACTAAGATATTAATTTTACCAATCGTGGGCAGCATAAGGCTTAATTGGTATTGATTAGTTGCTATATGTGTGTCTTTTTTACCCATAAGATGCATTTAATAATTTTATCCTATTATATTGTACGATGCTATCTATATGTATGATCGTATTTTGATTATGTTTATCTGTGAAAGGTCTGATTTCTGATTGTTGTTGCACCAACTATAATATGAGTTTTGATGTATTTCTGTTATCACATGGGATCCTCTACAGAAGACAATATACCCGTCCTATTTCTATATGGGATTCTCTACGGAGGACAATGTCCCCGTCTTGTTTCTGTTTGGGATTCTCTTTGGAGAGCTATTTTCACATCCTAAGTTCTATTTTGTACTTGGATCATTTTTGAAGGACATTATCCCCATCTCGATTTCTATATTCTAATTTGGGTACCTCTTCAGAGGATAACGTCCTCATCCTATTTATTCACGATAAAAAGTAAGATTGTTTGAAATTTTCTATTATATTATTCATGTATTGGACTGCTAATTTACTAATGCATCTGTTTTGATTTACACTTTATGTCTTATCTAAAGTATTAAATATTTATCATCAATACCTAATGCATTTAGAGAACACACTGAGATCTTTAGTTCATTCTTTTAGTTTCTATTTTTTCATATACCTCTGACTCTTTAGATCATGATTGGTATTTAAAGGATCAACAAGTAGCACGTTTTCATTCTAGACATTGTATGACTGTTTTTAGACTCTATTTTATTTCTTATTTTGTTAAGTTTTATATATTTATATTGGGGTTTTGGAATATTATATTTTTACCTGTTTTGGACTTTAAACTTGTTTTATGTTATATTTTATGAACTTGTATATATGTTTACGGATTTGCACCGATTTTTGATGAAGCATGCTATAATGTGAAAAACTTTATGATTTCTGTTAATTTCAATTATTGTGATTTCCGAGATTCGATCGTAACGTCTATGTTAGGTTTAGGGTCTACAAATATTATTAATAGTAGTATTTTTTGTCTAAAATTTTATTTGGGTCTATCCCATTTAAAAATTTTCTAGTGTTAATACATATGGGTCCAACTTAAATTTTTTTCCTAGATCCGTCATTGTTTGTCAATTCTTGCTATTTTGGATAGAATTATCTTTGAAATAATAGGTTTTATTCGTATTGACCATTTGTTGCAATTTTTTAACTAGATAGCTAATTATTTGAGGGGTAAATTTATTAAATATTTTTATTTCATTTTAGTTCAATATTAAATAGTGTTACACATATTTATATAATATTATAATATTTAATGTATTTTTATTAAAATTGTATTTATAATATCTCTAATGTATTTTAAAAATATATTATCTAGATATCTAACTCATAATATAATTTTGATTGAAATAATGTAAACTTGATTCAAGTTTGAGTATTAGTTTTTATACGAGAATTTTGTTTGCAAACTTATGATAATACAACTATCATAATTTACTTAAATGCACTCAAAATTGTTTCAATAATGAACATTTTAAAATTCAAAAGTTTAGAATTATCTTATTTATGATATCCTTGAGAACTGAAGAAAAATTAATAGTTTGGGGTGATCATAAAGTAATATAAGCTTTCTTAACCATTGACATAGTATACTAATTATACTTATAATATGTTATTTAAAAATTTAGATAGTGTAAGGAAAATAGTTCTATGAATACATGTTAATATTTCTAATTTAAAATTATAAATTTAAGTTGTTAAACAAATATCACAAGTACAATTTGGTAAAATTTTCTTCCACTTAATCTTATATTCTCTCAATCAAATATTGTAATCTTAAATTCTTGTCAAGCAAACCAACCAAGGTAATGTAATATTCCTAGTAATTTGTCATGTAATGTTACATTTAGGAGTCTTATTTTCAAAAATAATCTTACATTTCCTGAAGAAAAAAAAAATATGCCCCCTATGTTTTAAGGATACAACTTCTCTAACTAGAACAAGTTAATTTAAAAACAAGTTCTTTCTCAACTCCAAAAGATCCACCTTCTACTAAATTCATGATTTTGTTTTAATGTTTTTAACATTAATATCATTTAAATGTGAAATATGTTTGTAGGTGTGGTATTTAGATGCTTCAATGCTATAGTTACAATGTAAAGGACCAAAAGATTAGCCAAAGATTGAAATAGCTAAACATAAGTTTATGAGTTTACGTTTCTTTTGAGTTGCCTATATAACGACTCGAAAATTCAGTGTCAACGATTGATGGTTGACCCGAGTCAGTAAATCTTAGATTTAGATGTCTTCAACTTGTTGGTTAAAGATTGAGCCTTGTTGGGGAGAAATTGAAGCTCAATTAGTGATTTTAAGGGGTGTCTTTAAAAGAGAAAGTTAATGAGGAGGACCAAAGCTGTAATTTTTCCCTTGTGGGAAAAGAAATCAGATTCGTAGCTTTGACTTAGCCCTGAGATATAGAGACAAAATGGGACTAGGTGACCTCATACTTACCATTTAATTCGCCCATTTGTTACCTTCTTCCTCTTTGATTTGTGGTGTTGTTAGAGTAGGTTTCTAAGGTAAGAAACTTCATCTTCACTCTTCAAGTTTCATTTTGAGATGCAAAGCTCTATAGAAAAAAATAAAAACGGTGAGTTGGAGTTTTAGAGGGATTTGTTTAAGAAGAGATTCATGGAAGTTTTGGAAGCTACAGACTTTTATTTTCACTTTTGAGATATGTAATAATCTCTTCTATTACGTATGAAAGAGGTAATAAATCATCTAAAGTTAGAGATAAAAAGAATGTTTGAAGAGGAAAACAATGAGTCTCTCTTGTGGTGATTTTGCTCAAGTTAATATATTTCTATTCTTGATAAATTCATATGAACTATAAATGTAGTGACTTGTAGGGGAAATGTGTACTTGATGTGAGCTGTGGCAACTTGCATGAATTAATCTATAAGAGATGAATTTCACGTTAGAAATTGTTATAAATGATACAAAATGATGTATGGATAGTACTATTGGCCTTAAAGATCAATTTGGGTGATCATAGTGGATGATTAGAGTCAAGTTTGGATGATTTTTCGGACTTAGGATTTGATTCTGTATTTTGGTATTGATATTGTTCTTACAATATTGATATGCATTGAATTTTATAAGGAAATCTAGGCAATTTAAGTATAGGATGTCGATACATATTCGATATAATAGATTATCGATATGGGATGATATCAAAATAGTTTTTGGTATCAATACTTTCATAGGATATCGATACCAATAAAAAGATATCCATGCATACTTCAATTGAAAACTCATTGATGAATATATAAAATCTAACTTGAGAGTTGTTTAATTTTCTATCCAGAAATAAGAAAATCCCTAAATTCTATAGATCTAATGTGAAATGGGTTTGAAATCCTTGAAATGTCCCTTAAAAATCAAACTCTAAGACTAGAAGCAGTGAAGTGAAAAGAGGACCCAATAAAGACCTTGAGAAACAGCAACTAAGGACATATCTCGATTTCAAAAGTTGATAATCCTTTTTCTCCCCAAAGTGAAGCCACCATAATGGGAGAAAATCAGGAGTAAAAGTTGAATTTATTTTTATATCGCGATCATTTCTATTCTCGTACAATAATCTTATAAAAGAAAATATTATTATGAGATGATAATTGATTAAATGTTTTTATTTTCTTTGTCAGCGGCATATAACAACCCAAAGATCCATCTTCATTTTGCCAGCAGATTTACTTGGACTTCAAGCATTCTGATTAAAATAATTACCTCACAAATACAACCTATGTCAAATAATTTTGGGATCGGTAAAGTATTATATTTAATATCAAAATCCAAAAGTCTGACTCTGATCTAATAATTTATAACCAATTCTGCATTGAACTAATCAAGTGAAGTGATTAAAGAGAGTATTATTCTCTCTAGAAATTATGAATTCGAATAATTGCATTTACATAACGTGTATACATTATTTTTGTGGAAGAAAGATTAAACATGCTTTCAACTTTTAATACAAGGAAAAATAGATTAAACATGCTTTCAACTTTTAACACAATGAAAAGTATAGTATCAGTAGTTTTTTCCCCAATAATATAAGTTGATTATAAATCAAACATGCTTTCAACTTTAATGCAAGAAAAAGTATTAAGTAGTGAACAAATTAAAACGAGGTATTTCATCTTTTATATCATATCATACTAATGGTAGTGCAGTCCATCATCATCCTTATTTAAGTTATTGGAGCCACCGTAGTCACCGCCGTTTCTAGTAGCTAATATCATCCGCTGTCACAGTCCCTTCATCCTGGTTCTGAGCGTTGTCAAGCTCCCCAATATTGTCTCCTGAACCAACAACAATCATAAAACCTTTACCCAATTTCGGTGGTCTTCTAATTTTTTTATTACCACAATGGGTTTAGTCGTATATTTTTCTGTTTCTTTTAGCTTTTTACCGTTAACCCTGGTGTCAGGTCCTGCTGTGTTGCCTCCATCGTGATGTCCGAGCAAAGCTACAATCTCCTTCTTCATAGCTTCCTGGGCATCAAAATTTTTGTTATCCTCAGCTTGAAGAAATTCAGACACCAATTTGTCCACAGCTTTTTTGACCGCAAGCTTCTGATCCCTCTCACTCACAAGTATCAAAAGCTCATTTTCCTTTGCGTCCAAGGCAGCTATGTCAGCCCTCAGCTGCTCTTCCATTTCCCTTGTTTTATCCCTCTTCTTTCCTAATTGAGCTTCATAGAGGCATAGAATGAGCTCCATAACCTCGTGCCACTCTAGATCCTATGTGAACAAGAGAAAAGAAAGATGTTAACAAAACTAAAAAGGCATCAGAAGAAAACTTATAGAAATGGAAACCTGAGTGATCATATCAGAAGATGAAAGAAGGGATTATACAGCAATGGAGAATGTTGGAATTCTGGGGAAGAGGTGTGATTGAAAAAAGCCCCCCTTCATAGCTTAAAAAGGAGATCGGATAGTGTTTCTGTGGTGGTGGGTGGGGTCCATCATCGGATAATATTTGTCGTCCGTTTTAGTGGAGACAAGATCGACCGTTAATCCGACGTGGTGTTGCTTTATTGGCTAATCGATTCTGCTTTGACTACTTTTTCTCTGTCCTTTCTCACATAGTTGGATCCGCAAATACTCAAGAGTTCACACATTTGCTATTCTACTTTTCATTATTCTTTTAAAAATTATGTTATTTGGTCTAGTGATTGAGAGGGCTTCTTTCGGTAATGTTCATTTTGTAATAGGTGGTAGATTTCCCTTTATGTTTTTTTTATACTATTGTTGTTTGTAGCAGGTTTATGTTTCTTTTTCTTTCTAATATAAGCATAACATTTATTTAAAAAAAAGTTTAAATGAGACTGATTGAAATAATATATAATATTATTTTCAATCAACAATTATTTTGTTTAGTGAGATAAGACACCGGATTTTTTCATTAATGCCAGGGATCAAATTCTAACGTTGTGAATGATATAAATTAAATTGGGAGATCACCCCCATAACGAGTCTATGTAATATTTAATCTAGATTAGTTTATAAATAAATAAATATCAATGATAAAAAATAATAATAAAATCTTTGATATTCAATATAATTTTGTTAGATAATATATTTCAGGATTACAATCAATACTTTATCAAAATTACATATTACTTAATTAAATAATAATTTAATATCATACAAAAGATAGTTCCATACATATATAAATTAACTAAGCCAATAGCATATTGAGAAAGGAATAAAAGAAAGTAGTTGACTAGTTGTTGGACCCATAAATTATGGAATTAAAGCAAGCAAAGACGAATAAGTTCTATAAACCAATTATAGAATTTACAAGTCTCTCACTTTAGCCTACAACATTTTTAATGCTTGACAGAAAGTACTGAATAAATTCAAAAAAATCACCATCATTCTACACTAACTGATTAGTTGATTAAAGAGCATGATAATTTGAATAGTTTGAGTATGGACTGAAATTAAAGAACATTTATGATGATTTGTGTTAATTTTACTAAGTTTTTAATTCTACCATGCACTATGTGTGTTTAGGTCCTCATTTCACAGGACTTAGTACTACAAATCGTATGAAGCATAAAGCTTAGTCGGTATTGATTTACTGCTATTGTGTGTCCCTTTGACCCATAATACGCATTTATTAATTTTATTCTATTATATTGTATGAGGTTATCTACAAGTATGATCGTAATCTAATTATATTTATCTATGAAAGGTCTAATTTCTGATAATTGCTATATCACCTATAATATGTGTTTTGATGTATTCTGTCATCTGCATGGGATCCTCTACGGAAGAAAATATATCCGGGTTCTATTTCTATATGGGATCCTCTACGGAGGATAATATCCTTGTCTTGTTTCTGTTTGGGATCCTCTTTGAAGGATTATATTCCCATCCTAATTTATTTTTTTTGACTATGATCCTTTTTGAAGGACATTATCCCATCCTAATTTCTATATTCTAATTTTGGTACCTATTCAGAGAGTAATGTCCTCATCTTGTTTATCCTCGACAAAAGGTAAGGTTGTGTGAAACTATCTATTATAATAATAATGTAATGGACTTTTAATTTACTAATGCATGTGTTTTGATTTACACTTTATGTTTTATCTAAAATATTTAATATTTATCATCAATACCTAATGTATTTAGAGGACACATTGAACTCTCTAGCTCATTTTTTTTAAATTCCTATCTTTTCAGATACCTCTGACTTTTAAGATTACAATTGGTATTTAAAGGATCAACTAGTAGCAAATTTATTCTAGACATTGATGAATGTTTTTAGACTATTTTATTTCTTATTATGTCAACTTTTATATATTTATAATGGGGCTTTGAAATGCTATATTTTTACTTGTTCTGGACTTTAAACTTGGATTATGTTATATTTTATGAACTCGTATTTTTTTTACGGATTTACATCGATTTTTAACGAAGCATGCTATAATCTGAAAATTTTATGATTTATGTTAATTTCAATTATTGTGATCTCTGAGATTTGATTATAACGTCTATGCCAGGTCTAGGGATTACAAATATTATCAATAGCAGCATTTTTGGCAAGAATCTAAAAGAGTCATGCCCACTTATTCCTATGTATTTGTAAACAATGACATATTTGTTGAGGACTGAGGGTAGGTATGTATCTATTTTGAAATCCGAATTTTTTTGTGATTAATTTTTATTTTATTGATGGTGTCCACCCGAAAATTTTATTTGGGTCTATTCCATTTGAAAATTTTATAGTGTTAATAAATATGTGTCCACTTTAAAATAATTTTTCTAGGTCCATCACTTTTTGTCTATTCTTATTATTATGGACAGAGTTATCTTTGAAATAATAGGTTTTCTTCATATTGAACATTTATTGCGCATTTTTAACTAGATAGCTAATTATTTGAGGGGTAAATTTATTAAATATTTTTATTTCATTTTAGTTCAATATTTTAAATTTTGTTACATATATTTATATAATAATATACTATTTAATGTATTTTTTTTATTAATATTGTGTTTATAATATCTTGAATATATTTTAAAAATATATTACCTAAACATCTAACTCATAATATAATTTGGATTGAGATAATGTAAACTTGATTCAAGTTTGAGTATTAGTTTTTATATGAGAATTTGGTTTGCAAACTTCTTTAGGAATAATTATATTATATTTTATCACTGAGAATACTTAATAAATTTTTAATTGATAGATCTATTAGTTTAGTTGGGTTGAGGATCATACGATGCAGGACATCGCGAAGGAATGTTCTTTCAAAAAAATTAATTCTCTCACTCTCTCATATGACCAAATTAGCTTATTTTTTTGGTCATATGAGATAGTGAGACAATTAAAGACGTAACAGGATACAAACATCGTGAGAGGTGAGAGAATTAGGCCAAAGGAGAAAAGGGTGTCCTTCCCTTTGTCATGTGAAAGTTGATTATATATTCGAATGTAGTCCTATAACCATTAATATATGAGAAAGAATATAATAATCGATAGATTGTATTGAAATTATTATAGACATTTCGTAATCTGTTGGATTAATGTATATTGACTATTCAGTGTTAATTATTGGACGGTGAAAAAGTAAATCGGTATGCTCCTTAAAATATATTCGTTGTTGAGATACCTTGAAACGGAATGCTTCCAAATTGACAAAAGTTATAATAACGTTAAACGCATTTTCCTCTTCAGAATAATACATAAATAAGATTTAAGCAATACTTCTTGACCCAAATTAAGCAAAACCAAAATTCAATTCTTTCAGAAAAAAATTAAATAAACTTACACATGTACAATGTTTTATTAATATACTATTTGATGATTCATAGTTTTAGGGTTCAATTAAACATTATTGAAGAAAAAGTACGATAGAAGGCATAGTCGGATTCTCGTTTATAATATTAATTTTAGTGAATAATTCATGCTGCCGGGGTATATACAGTATTTAAATTGACATAAATAATAAATTTAAACAAAACGACAACGAAGCAAAGCAATTATTTATTATCAAAAATGTCAAACAATTATTTCAAAAATCACCTAGTAGAAAACAAATCCTAAGACAATACAAAGCTACCTTGTTCCTATGGCATCAGAACTAAAAGCATTAAGATTCTAATCTATATTAAATTGAATTAAATTCAACGATTAATTATATGTGTATATTTAAAGTATATGCATAGTATTTATATTATAAATATATTAAATACTAGTATATTATTATTAATATATTATCGTTAATTATATATTTAGTTAATATTTTATCAAGTAAAACAATGATGTGTTTTTTTTTAATTTCTCATAATTGTGATAGGAAGTTGCAAACTAATTATGCATTCATCATCATTGAAATTGTCAAAAAGCATTATCGTTTATGGGTTAAAAAATGCTCGTATCTTTCCATTTGTTTTTAATTGGATTTTCAGGAAGAAAATGTTGAACTTTTTGTTTGCTAAACTCGTCTCGTATTATCTAATATAATTATTATTTTTAAATTACTTTATATGTATATTAGGGTTTATTTCTTTTCACCGTCCGTAAGATTTTTTTTAAAAAAATTTCTTGCTTTAATTTGTTTTTCTTTAAATTCTTTTGATTTTTCATAGTTCTTTAAATTACATTTTTCAAAATTTTATTAAATTAGAACTTTGCAGGTGTATTTTTTATAATTTTTTTTTAATTTTAAAGTGAACATAATTTTGGAACATTGTTTTAAGTGTAATTAAGTTATTCTCTTATTTTTCATTTTTAGATTGATTAGGAAAAATCACGGAGATGGGTATATTGTAGTTGCAATCATTTTTTTATTTTATATTAAGTTAAATCAAGTCAAATTGAGTATACTATTTATTTTTGGAATTAAGTTACTAATAAGTTAAAGTGTAAAGTAGACAAATGATCTCCCGAGTATATAATGTTGTTTTGTTAAGTTCTTTGTCTATTAAAAGTTATAAAATGGTCCTTCAACTATACGGTGTTACTTTATTGAGTTCCCCAACTATTAAAAGTTACGAAATTAGCTCACGACTATTCATATGTTCTAAACTCGTCCTTTTTTGTTAGAAAATTAACGACAATCTAAGTTGGGTGTTAACCTGTTGATTGGGTGTTAACCTATTGATTAGGTGTTAATCTCAAATGACTATCATATCTCAGCCACTATGTTAACATCTAACTCAGACTGCCTTCATATTTTTTAACGAAAAATGACAAGTTTGGAACATATAAATAGT